AACAGATTTTGGTAAAGTGGCGCAGATAGAGCGATAAATTCAATAGTTGGGTAAAGGCTTCCGAGGTCAGAGAAATATATAGGTGCTGAAAAATGAACCCCGATGTCTTCTATGTTACGCTGGCCAGTAATTCATCCTCAAAGATGTTTCCAAAGAACACCAGCGCGTGCTTCATAGAGCATCTGGCAAAGGCGATTGACCTGGACGGGAGCTGGGAAGTGTGTCTGGTCGAGCTGCACTATCCACATACGCTAAACACGTTTGATCAAGATGAAGATTTTCTGTTCATCAGTGATGAGACTATATGGACATGTACCTTACCTAGAGGGTACTACTGCAACATCGATCAGCTCATGCATGAAATAAAACGTGCTGCGGAAAAATCCAAGTTTTAATATTTCTGTTAAACCACTCTATCACTCTAACCTTCACATCGCTGGCCATAATGAAGTGTTCAATATTTTCACATTTCAGAAGATTTTGGAAGGTCCTGTTAAGAAATTCTTTTCCCTCGCCCGTTTGTAGCTTTTTAGGAGTACGACCCTCTTGAAATGTATTTCGGAAAGCACTTGTCACGCCCCCTCCAGACTTTTAAGTGGCACGGCCCAGGCATATTTAGACAACATGTCTATATGTGATAAGATGTAACAGAAATCATCGTTGAACTCACTGTAGTCTTTCATGTTCACCAAGTCGGCCTGCCACTGCCAGTCCATTTCAGGTACCAGCGTCTTGTTTCTCTTAAAGCTCACACATGCCGGCTTGTGCAGCGTATAAGCCAGCTGGCCGGACAACTAGTCTGACACCAGGCCGCGACTGGCGCTCACACCAGGGGAAGTCACGGCCCTCAACAGACTCCCCACGCTGCTGTAACTCCCCGCTTCCTTAGGGTTATAATAGAGCGCGCTCAACCCCGTGGCTAATATGTGCTTTCAAACACTTATTTATAAATCGAGGGGAATGCGGTGGCGGGTATTTGGACCTTGAGGCTCAGGACTGCTCGGTGGGGGAAGGCAGGACATCCACTCCACAATGACACACCATTGGCTCGGGTGGAGGG